TCTGAAAAACTTATAAATAATATGAATTTGTTTTGTGTAAACGAATTGATTATAAAAGTGAAGATTGTCCTTGCGACAGGACGTGGAGGCATGTAGGGATTTGAGACAACGAGGTTCACACATCTTCTAGACCTTTGGTTCCCAGATGGTAGTGAGTTTGTCAGCCTTACGCACCGACCGCCCATTACTCTGAAGAAGATTCCTGGTATTCATTTCTGTTAGAGGCTCAGTGGATTCCAGTTCCATAGTCCGGATGCGAGAATTATATAAATTGGAAAAATTCAATGACCTCATTCAGACCTGAATCCGCATCCTCCATTTTAGTAACATATTGCCTTCACCAACTACCCTACCGTCTATCATGTAGCGTTGTCAGTATGCAGCGACTGCAAGATGGCTGCACATAGCAGGGTTATTTTCTGGGCGGAAAGTCGGTTACCACTTTCTAATTCTTAGGCACCAGTTACTTGATATTGCAAGAAATGTACTAAATAATGAAGGAGCTTTGTTTTCTATTTGGTCCTGTCCCAGATATTACAAGCGGGAGACAAACTCAAATAAACTCGGTTCTGTATGAGGTCTGTGAAGAGACTAATTGAGCCGCAGGCAGAGGAATATCCATTATTGCAGCCGATACCAAGGAACGTCCAATAACACACACAGAACACTATACACTCTTCTAGCGAACTATGAGGTGCGGAAAAGCGTTATTGTTATACTCGTATTTATTTGTAAAGACGGCTTGTATTTGGTCAGTACATATATAGACCAAAACAAACCCCGTCTGTAGTCACACATACACTACGTGACAGTATGTTGAATTAGTGATTAGAATGAAAGCCATGTCACCACGAATTTTGTATATGTTGATTATGTGTTGATGTTTATGAAAATATTGATCCGATCATTCGATAATTACGTCTTATCTCTTGACCCTTGTCATTGTTTTCAAATGTAAGTACACGTAAATGAGAGGCAAATTGAGGCAGATCGCTTAATTATTAACCTGTATGTATTTTTGTATGCATAGTTTGAGTAACCCATAACCTACCAAATATTTGACTGTCTATTTTCTGCAATAGTTCTAAATATTATTCAGATTTCCACATATGTTCTTGAACCACTTTTCACGATTCTTTATTCTGCTGTAAAACTTCCAATTTGTTTAGGTTGTTGATGAATCGAAAATGAAATGTTGGGATATTAATTTGAAATGTTTATATTAAATGATACTCACAATAGTCTCTATACTTAAAGGTGTTCTGACATTTGATTGCACTGAAGATCCGCTATCTCTGTCCAAGGTCAACGGTTGCTGCTCTCCTGAAACTCCAGATACTCCTGTACCATCGGCACCGTGTGGTGGAATTCTCTCAGCAGCACTTTAACACTTAAAAGGGGGTAAAGAAATTGTGTCTTAACGAACTCCTGTCAAAAAAATGACGAATGTGCAGCGTGGCTTGTGTCATAAACCCATCACTCCGTTAAAATAATGGCTTGTAGAAAATGTCAAGTAAAGAATTCACAAAAGATTTCTTTAGCTTTTCTTTACGTAACTTTTCCATAAGAAACCCACAACGGTTATCTCCCTGTTTCTACTGTAAGCGTGGGAAGAGGCTAACTTTTAAATACAAGAATGGACCTAAGTCTCACTACACTTGTTCCTGTCCTTACATTCAAACAATTAAATTTCAAATTAATAGCATTAATCATATTTAAATAGGCAGCATGGCAGCGGAACGGTTACAACATGAAACATTATTCCTAAGAGTGGAAACAACACTGAGTATACAGTTAAACGTAATATGTATGTCATCAAAATACAAACGCAAAATTTATTTATTAATTGGTACAAGCTTCGAGGAAACATATTTTTGTGGTATGACACATGATTACCTTAATTTCTAATATGAACAAATTTGCCTAATTTCTGCAGAGAGATCCCGCCTTCGAGTGCGACGTACAGGGCTGCGGGAGATCCATCAGAAAGCCATCAGAAGTGAATGCTCACAAGAGGTGGCACAATAAGGAAGGTGCATTTGTTTCCGAGTATGAAGATTGCCAGATGAGTTTCATGAAACGGGGTAACTTGAACATGCATCAAAAACTTCACAGCGGAGAAAAACCATTTGAATGCGAAGTCTGTAAGAAGAGCTTCGCCAGACAGGACAACCTGAAAAGACATAAGAAAACTCACGATTCTGAGGTAAGTTTCACTGAAGAAGGAAGGAACAGAATGTAGGGCAGAAATAAGCAAGGCATCGGAATGTGTAAAATGATTATGATTCCAGCGATACTATCCGTGTTTCCGCATTAGCAGTGATGTTAATCTTTCCTCCAGTTCCATGTCACTGGTTTCATTACTCTTAATTATTTAATTCGAATTTAATCGTTTATCTGATTCCTTTTAAATAAATTAACTAATAGCGAGGTATCAATATGAGTGTATGTTAACTAAAATTGCAGTAAATTTAAAAAACTACAGCGCTGCGGTGACCCCTTCTCCTATATTTCCACCGGCCGCACAAAATCTGACCTTTCTGGAATCTTCTGGAATATAGTCATTGTTTGTAATATTAATTAATATAATTCTCTAACTTATAGTACACATGTACCTCAAATCCTTGTGCGCTGTAGGTCACAAGAGATTTAAATATATAAGTATATAAATTATACACACTGCATCCAACTAAATTTTCCTCCTAATTATGCTTCAATTCCGGATATTAAGAAATTGGAGACATTTTATTCCAGATGAAAATTCTACGGTGTTTCAATTTCTAGTTAATTTCTTCAAGTACAAAATTATTTTCTTTCCATTATTGCTATGCTTCAGCTACCTGTCCCATCAGTAAGCAAATTACGGACTGTCACAGTATTTATACAAGTAACAGGCTAATTATTTCCCACATAGCACAAGATGGATTGTTCTGTCTTGCAATTTCTTCACGAGTTTCTCTATTATTCGTCCCTAATTGTTTTAATATTTTGTTAGCAAAGGGGCTTTATAGGAAACCCTTAATTAAATAATTATTTGAACTTAATTTTTACATTCATATTTAGTGCATTTTTAAATTTTCATCGTCTAGTGTGCTAAAATCTAAAGAACACAGCTTTCCGGAAACTTGATCTGCTTCCATTCTCAGTTGAAGATGCAGACACACACTGTGTTGGGGTACTTAGAGATAAAACATCAATCACTGATAACTCTATATTAACAATACACCTACATGAATACCTAAGCCTAGACTTAGTCGAAGGGACTTAACAGTAAAATTTTCAACAAAAAATGTGATAAAATAAATGGTTGTCTCCCCATCGGTTAAGGACGAAATGTAAAATTGTACATTCAACGATAAGAGATTTTTAAATAAATTTCAATTTCAACTTTAATACTGAAAATTCTAAAAGGTAAAAACTGTTGCAAATTCGTGACAGTTTAACGTATAACATGATTGTGATGGGTAGCTCTAATATGGATCCTTATTACGTCAGTTCAATAAATACATAAGTATTCGATGAGACTGCCTGAAGATGGCCTCACATGTGGGCAGAAGCATACAGCAACCATTAGATAAAAGTAATGTGAACAATGGGCGGGAGTAACTGTGACCTTAAGGGCACATGTTACAGTCATGAGGCCATTTTCAATGTGGTTGGCCGAACTACGGCTGTGTCTTTTGTGGGGTCGCATAATGGGCCAGGGATGCGTCGGGGCACAACTTTGGGACACCTCCTCGTGGTCCCGCTGGGCAACGAAAGTCTCGGTGTCTGGATTAATAAGACTTTCCGGGGCTGGCAATGGCATCATGACCGGACGCTACCATGAGGCAGCCAAATGACTCAAATAATGATTTCAAATAGGTAACATAACAACACAACAAGTTACCTTCAGGAATCCCAGGAGAACCAACTGGGAGTCATACAAGGGCGACCGAAAGGGGAACCTGGAGATTATTTTGTGAAGTATACGCACGATGAGGAGCACAGATCGATTTGTTGAGCAGTTGCAATGGATCATCATCTTGTCCTATTATCAAAATTTCCAGCCAAGACCACTCGCTTACCATGGAATGCACCTTGGTGGAATAAAAAGCTGAGAGAGGTAAGAGTTAAAATGATAAAGCTATTTAATATAGCGAAAAGAACATAGTAGTGGGACACCTACAAGGAAACCCTCACCAATTACTATAAAGAGATAAGAAAAATAAATGATCCTCATAGAGGACGTAGTGCTAGGAGATCAATGATGTACCGGGAAATGCCATACTCATAAGGGTCATGGAAAAACAGGCGACAAATAAAGCCTGCACTATCAAGCTGCTTGATGGTAGGTATAACCAAACAGCAGAACGGACACTGAAGGAAATATTCAGACTTCACTACCCAGATTCAAAGTTGATTGATGATCCAGGTGATGATCGGGGCAAGCGGGAACAGGTCATATTATACGGGCACTTCTGCAGCAAGGGGCGGAACTTTTAGTCCCACACCTATGCCACATATTTGGAGTCTGCATGGAACATGAGTTTATCCTTGCGGCCTGGAGGCAAGTTAAATTGACATTTATTCCGAAGCACAGGAAAATTGATTATACCGAGTCTAAAGCGTATCATCCTATAAGTCAATTGTCTGTCCTTTTGAAAACGATGAAGAAAGTGGTAGACAGATATATTAGGGACGGTGCATTGAAAATTCATCCTCTGCACCAAAACCAACATGCTTACCAAAAATATAAATATACTGAAAATGCAGTGCATAATGTAGTAACTCACATAGAAAATTTTATTCAACACAAGGATATTGCCCTTTGAGCATTCCTTGACATAGAAGAACCTTTAACAGAACCTACTTTGACACAATAAAACAGGCTGCTGAAAGGCATGGCACTGAGCCCACCATATGCAGATGGATCTGTGTCATGCTAGAAAGCAGAAATATAAGTGCTACATTGTCTGGAGAGATCCGGGAGTGTCTGAGACGAGAGGATGTATGCAGGTGGATGTGCTTTCCACTCTCCTGTGGAGCCCGGTCGTGGATGATCTTCAGGAACTCAACAGTACAGGTCACTTCACAGTAGGATATGCTGATGATATAGCAATCCTAATAATTGGGAAATTCCCGCACACTGTATCAGGTCTTACACACAGCCCTGTATACAATTCAACTGGTGCGAAAGGACAATCTTGTCTATCAATCCAAACAAGACTGTAATTGTACCCTTTACTTGGAAGATATCAAGAGGCTTAAGGAATCAATCCTCTTCAGTAAAGCGATCCGGCTATCCAGTGAAGTCAAGTACCTCGGACTAATATTAGACAATAGACTGACATGGAAATATAGCTGAATAAGGCTATTAATAAGGTCTATAACTCCTTCTGGACATGCAGGGTCACGTTTGGGAAGACTTAGGGACTGACACCAAGGGTGGTATATAGGATATAAACTGAGGTTCTAAGACCCATAATCACCTATGCCGCCAATATACGGTAGCCTAGAGTCAAACTCAAAACAAGTCAGGCAGAACTTAGCAAACTGCAAAGGACAGATTGCTTGGGAATTACGGGAGCAATGAGAACAGCACCAACAGCTGCAATGAAAATCCTACTAGGACTCCCTCCACTGCATTTGCAGATGGAAGCAGAGGCCCAGTTTGGAAATTAAAGATTGCATTGCAATGATCAATGGAGACCTAAATCCAAAAATTTTGGACATGCATACATGACTCGAGGCAAGAAAAAAGAATCCATCCTACAGATAGAAACTGATGGAATGCTACCGAATCATGTTTAAGATTGACCTTTCAATATCATATTTCCGGATAGAAGTGAATGGAAAGAGGGGTTCCAACCCAATAGAAAGGGCTATTACTCTGGTATACAGATGGCTAAAAGACAAATAAAGGGCCTGGAGCTGGGGTTTATTGTGATGGAACAAGGCAGAAGCATTCCTTCAGCCTTGGTCAGTACACAACAGTGTTCCAGGCAGAGGTGTATGCCATTAAGGCAAGCGCAGTTGAGAATTTAGATAGGAACTATAGATGTAGGAACATATATATCCTATCAGACAGTCAAGCTGCAATTAAAGCTCTTGGAACACAACAGATCACTTCAAAATTTGTTTTGGACTGCCGCCAATTACCTATACAATTGGCCAGACATAACAGAGTAGCACTGATATGGGTGTCAGGCCATGAAGGTATTACAGGGAATGAAACCGCATATCAACTGGCAAGAACAGGATCTGAACAGCCGTTCATAGGAGCTGAAGCAGCTTGTGGCATCTCAATTGGGGTTCGCCAAGAAAGTGATCAGGGACTGGACAAATAGAAATCATAAGAAGTACTAGAAATCAATAATTGGAATCAAACAGGTAAAGGAATTTATTGCTGGACCCTTTGCAACTAAGATGGGTGGTAGGATTACCTACCTGTCACTGCCACCTAAAAGGACACCTTTTCATGTTCAGACTGACAGATAATCCTAATTGTGAAAGGTGCCTACAAGGAAACGGATCAGCCACGAGTATCCTGCGTGATTGTGAGGCCACAGCTTACTAAAATTTCGTCACTTGGGTCATATTTTTATGGAACCAAGAGACTTTTATAACGCTCCCAGAAGCAAGTTCCTACACTTTATTAAATGTGTAGGATTAATAAAGGGTTAATCAAACGCAGAAACGTTCGGGAGACGGTTTTTATGGCCCACTCTTTACATAATGTGATGCGTTACCTCACATCCATCATCGCGACAACCGCTACAATAGGAACGGACACTTCCACGACAACGAATACATGGAAATTGGGGAGTTCCCCCAGCAACAAATCGTAGCAATGAATTGTCGTTGATTAACAACGGATGAGATGAAACACGTTACCGATGAATGCTATAAGAAGCGTTCCCGTAACAACTGACTGCCAGATCAGCGGTAACGGAACCGCGAGTAATGATGTCTGGTATCCGGTCCGCATAACCCCTGTATAAGAAGAGCTTTCGGCGCATACGCAATATTACCCCGCGTGGAGGCGAGGTCGAATACCTCCACCGCAACCCTTCGAGTCGTAGGAGGCGACGAAAAGGAAAGTCTCAAATGTGAGACAGTAAAATATGGTCGCAAGTCCGAAGGGACTAGGACCTGAGAAACACTGCGCAGGCAAGGACCAGCAACATATGCAAAAGACAGATCCGTCCTCTCATCAGAGAGGGCGCCCCACAGAAACAGGAGGGTAACAGTCGAGGAGCGATAAATATCCGGCCATGAGCCTCAGGAGACTTACTGACTGGCTGACCATCAGTCGCAATATGTCTTGGACTTGGTACGGAATATTGAGAACGAGACAATTTTCTGACAGCCGCCGCCTGAGACAGTTGAGATCCAACCACGTCTAAGAATAGTTCAGACTTCGCATTGGAGTACTGGAGAGTACTGGGCCAGAAGCCAAGTGATATTGCAAGTGATAATAATTGTACTATGTGTAAGAATGAGCTTCCAATAAAGATTCGCTAAATCCGAGACCCACGTTAAGTTATTTGTCGCGTGACATTCACAATACGTGACAATATATTACATTATATTACAATGTGAGAAATTTAATTGCTTTATTTTTATTTGAAGTGATACGGCCAATCAAATGTTTCCACTTTTGATAATCATACGTGTATCACTTGTTGGGACAAATCACTGAATTATCTGCAATATTTAAAATTCTCTTCGCTATCATAACCCACCTATAATTACAACGACCCTTAACGTCATTTCTCCTGCCAAACATGCCTTTCGACCATGCATCTTCATGTGTGTGCCGAGACTTTTTGATGAACTGAAGTCCTTGTCACAAATATGATACCTAAATGGCTTCTCTCTGTTGTGTGTCTTCATGTGCTTCTCCAGGATTCCATTTGTCGTGAACCGCAACTTACAGCCAGGCCAGCTGCACACGTGAGCCTCATGTCTCTTGTGCCAGCGGATGTGCGCTCTCAGCTGGGAAGGCATCTTGAACACTTGCCTACACCCCGGATCTTGGCACTTGAAGTCCAAACTCATCTCCTAAGCACGGCAGAATTTTCACGTTAGATGATAAGCATATCAGTTATCACACTGAGGTCCTTGAGAACACTACTGTTCATCACGTGTTAGGACCAGACAGGGCATTCGGATTTTCATATTACTGAATGTTACAAAACCTTAATTACAGCTAACTATATATAACCTTGTTTACTAATTCGTCCACTATAGTTCTCGCTACAGCACACGCTAAGAGTTCCATGCTTTCACTAGACTTTCAATCGTAACACATCCCAACAATTTCCTCTGCCTAGCTCCTTAACGGGTGACATCTATCTCACAAGTAACTCACCTGTGCATTTTCAGCTCATGACTGACTGCCTAATCAAACTCAAGGATATACAAGTATTACGACAAACAGTCAGTCTGCCAGTCTGACAGGAATTCCTTTAGGCACGAAATCAGATTTATATTAGTGTCAGACACTCTTGGTTTTGTTGCTGTGTTGTGAACTCATAGGTAAGTAGACGGGTTGGCACTTTACAAATGCTGTTGGTCCTCGCCAGAGAAGTCGTTCTCGAATCCGAGTCATTTTGGACAAGTGAACATATTGTGCCCCTTTCCTAAGGGGCAAGACTTTAAATATTCCCCGTTGTTATGTAATGCCCTCACGCAACAATTGAAGTGATGTCATGATACCTGACGCGTACAGCCGTTGCTGTGTAGCGCCCGCAGCATACGCATGTGGGATGACGACACACAACAAGAGAAACGGCGATGCAGACGAACTTCCCTGTGGTGGGTCCTCCGAGAAACTGGACCGACCGTGTTCTGTTCATCGCCTGGGTACAGTGCAGTTGAGGATTCAGCTATGGAGGGATAACCAGCTGGCAATGGAAGACGAAGAATCTCCATTGTTATGATTCGTTAACAGGAAATATCTAGAGAGGGAATTACAGAGGAATAGCCAGTGTGGAGAGCTGTTATCAAGTAATGACTAGTGGAAATGAACGGAGAATACAGTTCTGAGTGATTTGTGATACTGGAATCAGCATTAGTGTAACAGTTACTTGTTGTAATGGCCAATAAATCCATTCACAAATCCAAACACCGTTTATAGTCACTGGAACACGTGACAGAATTTTGATGTCTAGATTCGAGAATCCCCAAATATTAAGGGCCTGGAACACGTATTTATATAACCCAGGAATAGGTAGGCCCAGATATACCCCCAAGCACAGGGATCCGTTTTCGTCGCCTCCTACGATTCGAAGCGCTTAGATGGAGGCATTCGAACTCTTACGGTGGATGTATTCGAACCGTCCTCCATGCTGAGGGTTGACAGGGAAGTTGTCCTCCTAATTCCTGTAATGTTGCTCGACTACAAGTTGTTTACAATTGTTTATCTGGTATTTACCAAAAAAGTTCTTTCTTTGACAATGAACTTGTCACAATGTAAGTAGCAACAGTCACGAGATAACCAAATATACGACAGCAGTTACAGAGTAACAGCCTTACAAACAAACATCTTACCACGTAAAGGATTGAACTACTATAAGGGACCGGTGTTTTTATGTTCACTGTTTCGACCCTTGGTTGAATACCTGCATGGTGACACTGCAAATCATAAGAACAGACGAAATGGGAACCCAGTGCTTGGGGATATATCCGGGCCACCCTCTTCCTGGGAGATATAAATACAAGGCAACGGTTAATAGATAGAGTATCAGACTAAGAATAAACATGTGTAATAGGGAACTGTAAAATGTAATTACAAGCTGTGTGTTAAAGAATGAAATAAATCGAGTAAACTATCCAGACTCCCTCGTGTGACAAATTCTGACAGAAGTGGTAGGATTTTAGATGCTGCAAGAAGCTATATTGTCATAAGAACCGATAGAAGAGATAATGGCACGTCTGCTGGGTGAAATGAACATCAACTATCCCAAGCGGAACGTCAGTGTAAGGAATACAAAGGTCATACAAAGGTCATATTCAAATGGCTTCTCTCCAGTATGGGTCTTATTATGTACCTTCAGAAAGTGTAGGTGTTTGAATCCGATCTTACATTGTGGCAAATTACATTCACTCAGCTTCAGTCCATCGCGCCGGCGCATATGGTTCATCAGATATTTTCTATTTGTGAATATTTTTCCGCAGCCCGGCTTCTTGCACAGGTTTTCCTGGAGACAAAGAGTAAATGTATGAATATTTGTGCTAAGGTTATTCATGCGTTTGTAAGCAATGTTCGTGTACTTGTGTAATGTACTCAGCAATTATTATCTCAGTCGCATAATTCGTCTAAATTTTCCCCACGTCTGCCACGTACCCCTTCATCTCAGTTTCTGATTTAAGTTATCTCTGATAACCTCTACTGAGTGGTACAATATTCTGTTCCGAAACATCACTCCATTTTTCTCTCTATGCTAAGACGTAATCAGAAACCATTTAGTAAATTTACATAAATTACATGACTTCAATGAAGAGTTAAACAATATTTCTCACACCCCAAACACTCTCAATACCCAAATGTAATAAATAATATTAATGTGATAAATAAAGTTTCATTTCCATGATTTGAACGATGCTCATAATATGAATAATATTTCTATGCTTATAACAATTGAACCTATTGTTCCTACATCACGTTATATGAAAATCTTTCATAGTTGCTCATTAATATTTCAATGCAATATAACTCAATACAATTTAATGCAATTCAATTCAGTTCAATTCAATTCGTGTTTATTTACGTCCAAACGTAACAGCATAGTGACCAAGTACAAAGTTAACACGAGTACATAGAAATACACGAAAATAATTAAATAGCAAAATACAAAATATGACTCTTGATATAATAGCAATTAATTAATAACAATTCCAAGAAAAATCTAAGTTAGTTATAACAGGGAGAAAAATAAAATAAATACATTTCCAATAGTTATGCCATTTGTGGTTAGGAAGGACAATATATGTACATACCCATATTAAAGTTAATAATAATAATAA